ACATACGAGTATAATAATATAAAAGTTATACAGCAATATAACATAGTTATCTTTTTCCAAAATTTTGATTTTTAAAGATGCAAAATTTGGAAATTGTTATATTGAGTATTATTCGAATAACACATATGTATGTATAAAAGATTGTATATTATTAAAAAACACAAATATTAAAAACTTTTATTTTTAATAAATTTCTGCTAATTTTTTTTTTTAAGTAGTTATCATTTGCACAAGGTGTGAATTAAATTAATTAGAAGAAATGGTTTTAAATAGCTTCAGTATAACAGAATTCTACATTTTTGTAATTATAAAGATGCTTCTATTGCAATTATTATAATTACATTATATAGCAATCCTATATGCAAATATATAATACAAAGGCAAAATGTATACACAATTAAATAAGATAAAATACATATGTATGTGCATATGTGTGTATGTATTTCAAATGAATCATATACATTATAATTTAAAATGACAGTTTAAGGATATAAAATATTTGAAAAAGTAAAAAAAACTTTTAAAAAAATATTAAAGATTAATTTTATTTCGTCGTCTTTTTTCTTGTTTATTTAACAAAAAATTCTTTTAAATATTTAATTATATTTATGTATATAATATTATTCACTTACCATATTATAGTTAATATCAATACAATATTGAATTTCATTTTTAAAGTATTATTTTTTTTTAATTGATTAAAATAGAAATCAAAATTTTTGTAAAAAGAGAAGAAAATTAATTGATTGTACCACAAATTACATAAGACTTATTATGCAGGTACCGTATAAGTCAATTCTTTTAATTTTTAAAAATTTATCTAAATATTTTTATATTTTTTTTTTGTTATTATCAGCTTTAAAATAAAAAAAAAAACTGCGATAACATAAAATTATTTAAACTTAAATATAATTTTTTTTTATTATTTTGAATATTAAATTATGTAAAATATTTTTATTTTAAAACTATACATAAGTACATTGTATGTAAGTATGATTATATTTTGTTTTTTATTTGTTTTTGTTTTATTTTATTTTGCTTCGCGGATTTTTCTTTAACACAAAATGCAAAAAAAAAAAAATAATAAAATAAAAAAATATTTAATTATTTCTTTCGCTATTCCGTTACTATATTAAAAATATGTTGTTAATTTTGAGAACGCACAATGTTTACTGATAGAGAAGGAAGCAGAAAAACAATTTGGATGTGCATATAAAAATTTCATCTGGCTACCTTTTGCATAAATCTTTTACGGAAAACTTTGCGAGTATAAAAAAAAAATATTTATATGTATATCTGTAATGTTGATATGTAAATATAAATACACTTTATAACTGTGTAGTATATGTATGTATTTATTTATTTATGCATAGCTATATTGTATAAAATAAAAACATTTAATAGAAAAAACAAAAAAGGCGAAGAGTCAAATAGAAAACCAGTTTTTGTTAAAATTTTAATTTTACTTTTTAATTTTTTTTATATATTAATATATATATATAAATATATACATAGTTATATTTTTTTATTCTTTCACCTTTATATTATAAATTCAAATAACTTAATATATGTATATGAGTAAAAAAGAAATACATAATAATATAAAAATTGAATATGTTTGTATGTATGTATATAAAATTTTAGCAAAAATTTTATTGTCAAAGTAGTAATATGAGTTATTTGTGTTGCTGAACTGTAAAACGGTATAACACAAAAATTTATATATAATATAAATATGTATGTATGTATTTGAAACAAACAAAAATGAGAAAAGAAATAAAACTAAAAGAAATATTTATTAATTAATAAAAAAAAAGAGAAGCTTTTAAATTTTACTACTAATTTTGGTTTAAAAGCTTTTATTATACTGATAAAAACAAGTTATAAAATACCTACCTGTATTTAAAATTTTAACAGAAACGCTCAAATCTTAAACATTGAGATAGTTGACTGAGACAGAGAGAGAGAATTATTTATTTATTTTATAAATATACAAGTTATAACAACTATTAGAAATAGTAAAATTAAGCTCAATTTTATGTTAAATTTATGATAATTTACCTTCGTTTGCCGCCAGCAATTATTTCGAGAGAGAAAGTAATGGTATATTTTACCAACTAAGAGTGAATTTTTTTTTGATTTTTTATGTTTTATAGAAAAGAAATAAGAATAAAGCAAATATTATAAAAGTGTATTTTGAAGAAATATTTCGTTTTTTCAATAGGACTCATAATATACTTTGACTTCAAAATTGTATTAATATGGTATTGATACAAAATTCAGGTTTTCAGTAAGGCATCCGGAAATGTAGAATATAACAATATACAATAATCATTTTTAAAACCGTATGTACGTCCTATAATTTCAAAATTTTATGAATACACTATTCAGCTCTTAAGTTAATTGCTTAGCATTATCGTTAGGCAATTAACTTAAAGGCTACAGTATAGCAATCACCTTCCAATCGAAATTGTAATATACGCAATATAACCGTAATTAATTATCAATTTGATTTATTTAAATAATTAATAATTTTTGAATAATATACGTTTATAAAAATATTAATATTTAACTTTTAACAAAACTTAATATTTAATTTTAACAAAATACATATTATTTGCATGAATTAGATTAACACTAACATACATTTGCATTATAATATAATTTTATGCGGAAAATCAATTTTATAATACACAAATTTGATTATATTGAAATTGTTGGAGATTTATAGAGATTTAAAACTCTTTTTCTTCTTATTTTGATTTCGCTTCCAATCAAAAACACTGTAGAAGCAAGCAGAGGCTTACTTGAGTATAAGATTTAAGAGAAGATATGGAAAATAAAACAGCAATCTGTATATATGTATGTAAATGATATTTGTATGAAGAATGAAATATAGTTATATTTTTTTGTTTTACTTTACTTACACAAACACATATGTATATACTAAGCGTAATTGTTTGAAAGTTTTAAAGAAAGTGAAATTGCTTATAGTATACTACTGCCATGATACTAATCCTACAATATAGTCACCTACACATTACGGAATTACTTTAAAAGAGTAATTGAAATATAAACATATAGGTACATAAAACAAGTGAAACGGTTAATTAAGAATGAAGGAGAACGTTTTTATTCAAAAATGCACATTAGTTGATTAATGCAAAGAGAAATTATGTATTCAACACAACCTAAACGGGCATTAATTTGATATGTAAGCAATTTATTTAAATGCGTAAGTGATACACATTTTCCTTCATATTTCAGCTCATTTCTTTGTATTAAAAGGTTTTTTTTTCACAATTTTATGTATATATATAAGCAACTACACACATACGTTATATGCGGATAAAACGTATATTTTTTGTACGAATGAATAAAATTTTATATACCCATACAAAAAATAAGGAGTAGATTTTCTTTTAAACTAGTTTTTATTAAAATTAATTTTTGATACTATTCCATACGTTGGATAAAATAAGGTTGCCAGTTTAGTAATTATAATTAAAAAAGAGGAAGAAAAAGACAAAATTGGAAGATATAAGGCTCTCATTATTTTCCAAGCGAAAATTAAGTACCGACAATTAAGTACCAAATGTAAAATAAAAAACAATTGAAAAAGTAATCGAAAACAAAGAAGAACTATTCCCAAAAACATCTAATTTTGAACACGTATGAAAAGTAATGTGAATTGAATACTCACAGATAAATTAGATATTTAAATTAGGTTCTAGCAGTATAAGGCAAAAATAATCTGGAATCAAACAAACCAAAGGTAAACATGAGCGAATCGGCTCTTTTTCAAAGATGGAGTAAACGGAGAAGCAAAACACTAGAGAACGTCGTGAAAATATTTGCACAAGATGAGGAATAGGGCGATGTAATAATGAAATACGTAGAGATTGCACTACGTGGCTCAGCTGGTAAACATCGAAAAAGAAGTTTAAGGTACCACACCTCTATTTTTTCATAAAATTGTTATCCGTGTCTTTGCTAAGGATTTGAATTATCCATGCTATTTAAAAATCTGGAAATTGTAGCCGAAATCTCAGGATTACACATTTTTTATACAAAATATATATATAAACAAAAAAATTTTTCCGCTTTTTGTTAATTGTAATAAAAATTTCTTGTAATAATAATAATTTTTTTGTTTCATTTAATAATGCTATTTTATTAAAAACAATATGACTTTCACATGTTTAAACCATCTTGCAGTTACACATCATTTCCGTCAAAAATCTCAACTTCACGATAAATGAGTACTTTTGTTCATGTGTACACTAACAGAAATATTTTTATTATATCAAGGTACGTAAACTGTTTTCATTTTGTTGCAGAAGACGTAACAAAAAAAATTAAGTGTCGTTTTTATATTTTTATGCTACTAAAAATTTTTTCCTCTAATTCTTCCAAACTCATATATGGCGCAAGGTGAATGAAACATATTGTGTCATTTAATAATATTGTATTGCTGAACAAATAATGTTCATGCTAGATTCACGCTTACACACATTAGACTAAATTGAACCTGATGAATATCTAATGAATAGTTCATTAGGTTTTCTGTCAAAATTTTACAAACAATAAAGTAAGCTGGGCCTCTAACATAATAACTGGAACTTAGGCACAAGTAAAAACAAACATTTAAAAATATAATATTTATTAAAGTTTTTACAAAGCATTTTGAAATTGCAGCTGCCATCTTATATTAAAATAAAAAATGTTTTTCTGTTATACGCATATTGTAATTCGTAGATTTACAGTTGAATTTACTACAGTTGAAACACAACGATAAAGCAATCATTAAAATGTTTAATTCTTCATTCGTTGCTAAATTAGACCAACATTTCATAATATGTACATATTTTTTTAATTCTCTTTCGCAATAATTTGACAGATATCTACAACTGTTTAGCAACTCATCAATAAATGTAGTAAAAATTTCATTTTGCCGCGTTGCTAACTTAGTTGTAAAACTTAGCAGTTTGAAAGGTGTTTCCAGGAGTCTCAGTTCTGTTACCTAAATTAAATTTCTGTAGATAAAAAAAAGTTTTAATTATTCAACACTACAAATTCAAGCAAATTTTTTTTAGAAATCATAAACTTGAAATATATATTCGTTTATTAAATTGATATTTTAAGGATGTATTGATTTATTTTCATCCATTTGCGAAAAATTAAGAAAAAAAGTGAAAAAAAAAGCTGTACTCGCGGTTTGACAAAAAAAAATTTTTTTTAAAACTAAATTTTACTGCTCTTAATTAATGTTAGAGTTATTTCCCAATATTAAAATTGTTAATTTTAAATTAAATAAATGAAAAAAAAATTTTCATAATTGACAAACTGTTAAAATATTTTTTTTATTATGACTTTATAAAAGACTCAAAATTTTCATAATATTTGAAGAACTTCAAAAGTGGAAATTTAATTTAATAAAATACGAGTGATCGGATAATTTAAGATTATTAATATCAATTGATTTTAATTTATATTTTATTTACATATTTGTAGATAAAATAACATAAAAGCAGAAAAATCGGCGTTAGTTAAAAGGGAAGTACAATTTCAATACTAAAATTATTTAAGACTTTCTTTTACCAAATAATTTTTGGTTTTAAGCATAGAAATATGCATTACATATATAAAAAATTAAGAAATACAAATTACAAATTTGATAAAATTTAATTACGATATAAACAAGTTAATATGTAATAGGTTTTGTACCTACCCAAATAGATTTAAAATATAGATTCTCGAAAAGGTGATGAAAATTAGAAAAGTTTTTTAAGAAAAACTTTTGGAAAGAAATTAAAGAAAAAAATAAATATGGATGTACATGTTGTTCAATTAGATTTAGTTCCTTCAAAAGGAAAGGATTTTGAAACAATTTTAAATAAAGAAAATGCAGATTTTAAACAAGAAAAAGATAACATTCATGAAAAGGATTGTAATAAAATTTTAATAGATAATTGCGACTTTATCACAATGGAAAATACCAACGAAGAACTTCTTAGTAAATCTGAACTGGAAATCTCTACATCAGAGTTCATAATTGATGAGGATAATTATAATATTTCACCTAACACATCTTCAGATCCGTGTGTGGATCCACTAGCTATAGATGATTATAATGCAGAAGAGGTTTCCTCAAATATTAATGATTCTCAATTTAGTTTATCAAAGGATAATATTATTTATATAGTAGATGTTGATGACATAAAAGATAATTCAGTAAATAGTCCAAAAATAAATTCAATTAAAATAAGCTCATTAGAAGACATTCATTGTAAAGTTAATAGAAATATTAAGGAAATTGAGGGAGGTAATTTGAAGTTATTGAATAACCAAAATTTAGAAAAATCGAGTACCAATGATGAAAACGAAATGCCAAGTGATGGTTCCGATTCTGGATTAGGGCTTGACAACAATTTATTACAAATAGATACTTACCACAAAATGAATAATACAATAACAATACTTGAAAAAAATATATCTAATCCCATATCAAATAAAATTCCGAATAAAAGTAGTTTAAAGCGGAGATCTGATACTTTAGAACATTCTGTTTTGCTACCAACAAAACGTAACAAAAGATCAATACAATTTGATAACGTCAAGATTTTCTACTTTCCAAGAATACAAGGGTTTTGCTGTGTTCCATCTCAAGGAGGATGTACTTTAGGCATGGGGGCAAAACATATTCAAAGTAAAACTTATAAATTAAGTGATCATGTTAATGAGCAGAGCGGTGATAAGGTTTCAATGCAACTTTGCGGTGCAAAAGGCTCTTCAAGTGATGAAACTGATAGTGATGAAGATTTAAGCGAAGAAAATATTTCAGATTTAGACCCAGATTCAAGTGGATTTTTACAGCCCGTACCAGTAAAAAGTCGACGAGCCCTGCTAAAAGCTGCTGGTATCAAAAAAATTGATTCATCTGAAAAAGATGAATGTAGAGCAATTAGAGGTTCCAGAGAATATTGTGGCTGCCTTTGTAGGGGTTTTTGTGATCCTGATACGTGTTCTTGTAGCCAGAATGGAATAAAATGCCAGGTAATTTTTATGAATTATACAAATAAAAAATTGGTTTTTCTTTTATATAATATTACTTTATGATAACTTAATATGTTATTATTTAGAAAGCGTAATTTTATCTAATGCTCCATATTATTATATTATTCTTTAAAGGTGGATAGACCAAATTTTCCCTGTGGATGTACAAGAGACGGGTGTGGTAATGCATATGGTAGAATTGAATTTAATCCTACTCGAGTACGGACACATTATATTCACACTATAATGAGATTAGAGATCGAAAATAAAACCAGATCAACATTTATGCATGAAATACAACCGAGTCAACGATTTTTCCCAAATTCAGGCCCAGTTGAAGCCTTGTATGAGGGTGAAAATAGTACTGCCGGACAAAATAGTATTCAGTTTTTTCCAGACCCTGTTTCTATTACAGATAATGATAATAATTTTGATTTATTTCCACTACACAACGGAGAGGACAATTCTCGAATCTTTCTATCTGCTGATCGCGAAATTAATTCTGATGGCGAATTTTCATATCCAGTTTTAAAATCTTTCCTCATTCCTACGAATAATCAGCAAGATGAACTTGTTTGTTCCTCATTATTATCAAAAGCTTCTCAAAGAAATAATTTAAAGATTTTATATCCACTGCAAGATGAAGGAAACAATTCAAGAATATCCTTACCTTCTGCAGATGACAACAATATTGAGGAAAAGCTACCATGCCCAATTTTAAAGGCCTGTTTTAACTCCAATAAATGTGAAAAAAGTGACGAAACTAATTCAACTGGACAATCCAAAGTCAACGAAAATGCTAAAAATTTACTTTCGCTGCATAATACGGAGGATAATTTAAGAATATCTTTGTCTGAAATTGAAAATGTTGATGAGCTTTTATATCCTGTTTCAAAATCTTTTTTAACTTCTACAGACAAAATTATCAATTCTTCTAAATCTAGTAACCCTGAAAACAATGTTATAAAAATTTCTACTAGTGGTTTTAATATTACAGAACCAAAATATTTAGGAAATTGTGCTCAAGGATATGACAGTTTTTCTTCAGCTTATGCAAATTTTTTAGAAGAAGCTTATCTACCATCGAAAGCAAATTTTACTGAAAAAATTCATAATGAAATATCAGACGTAGGTAATACAAATTATAATCAAAATCAAATTGAAAGAAGTCCAGTGCATGACTTACTAAATATAAATAGAAATAATACTTTACCTTTATACTGTGCTTCACCTACAGAACTTGTTCCTAAAAAGGATGAAAAAACTAAAATTGAACCTTCTAATTCTCCCACTAAAGAGTTGAACAGCACCGCAAAAATTTGCACATTGGCTCCTACAGCACACACTTCAACTTCGATATTTGAAGGAACCTCAACCACTATCGTATCAAACTATGTTTCAAGCTTATGCAGCCATGAAAATAAAAATAACATGAGTTCAACAACAGATTGCACCGCATCTGCTACAAACTCAAATTTGAAATGTGACTTGTCTGAAACAAATTGCACTGAAACGAAAATGAAAAAAGAAAATACAAATGAATGTATTCCAGAAAAAACTGATATAGAAATTTTAATATCTGAACTTGATTGTAAACCTGAACATCTATCACAACTCTCACCGCCGCAGTTAAAAACCATTACTTATATTTCCCCTTTAGAAACGACGTGCGTCAATACTTCTAATACAGAAGATACGAAAAATGAAATGAAATTACTGGCAACAGTTTAATAAAGAAATATCAAGGTGCCCTAAAAAAAAACACAACTTTAAACTTGGTATGGGCTTTAGTTAATACATATATTCTCGTCGACCAATGTAGAGTTTTCAAAACAAAAAAAGAAAATTAAAAAAAATTAAAGATTAATTTTAAGTGGTTTGTATGTACATACACCTTAATATTGTGCGCTTAAAAATTGAAATATAAAAATTTGTATTAAAGCCTCTATTTGAGCTTTCAGACTTTAAAGAAAAATAGAAATGTTATGAAATTGTTTAAATATGTAATACAGAAAATTTCTTTTTTCTTCAACACTTACATTTTAAAACTGAACTGCATAAAAAGCGATGTTCTAAAGTTTCAAATAGTAGTTGAATTTTTATTTTCTGTGATTACCTTTAAGTGTATAATAATAAATATATATATAATTTTTAATTATTTATAACTTTAGTTGTTATAATTGGTCATGTTGATTTCCAAAATAATATGTATGAATAAAATATAAAAATTAAAAAAAAAATATAAGTTATAATAAAAATAAATATCGATTTGTTTGCATCTTTTCAAAATTTCAGAACATTGGACAATTCTATCACTATCAAGGGAATATGCAATTAATTCAGTTGCATATTAACTTTACAATCTTTAACATGTGTAAGGTTTTTTTTAAAATTCAGGAATTTTTGTTTGTTTCTTAAATGTACTATATATTATTAAGTTTCTTAAAAGTACTATATTACATACTATATTATATTTATTCGAATATTTTTAATATTATTTTTTGGTGGTGCGGCTAGACTTATTTCTTAACCCGCTTGTTGAGGACTCATTGACGATAAAAATTAAAATTTTTACATGCATATTTATATACCACGATATCTACTCATCTGAATGGATCTACTAAGTTTTTTTTTATCGTTGGGTTGCTGTATTTTTTTTAAAATTACATACAATAGATAATTTTGTGTATGAAAAATGGTTTGAATTAGTGTTTTTTTTTTTTGCAGACTGATCACAATGACTTTTCGTGTGAAAAAAAGCAAAAAATTTGCTCAATAAAAACATCTAAAAGAAGAAGACAAATGTCGTATATCAAAGACTTAGTGTATATTGAATACACTAAGTCTTCGATATACGACGTTTCGAGTTACGACATGATATAAATTTGGACCATTTTTATTTGGCTTGCGACATTCTTCCTGATACGGCATAATTTTTTTATTTTTTTTTTTTTGACTTTTGAATAAAAATCTATACCGAATTTAGTTATACGGCAAGTCTAAAGAATATACACTAAGTCCTCGAGATACAACATCTTCCAATATGACATTTCGAGTTACGACATAATATAAATTTAGACCATTTTGATTCGGCTTGCGACATTATTCCTTCGTCAAAAAATTTTTTTTTTGACAGATTTTACTGTTTTTTGAATAAAAATCTATACCGAATTTAGTTATAAGACAAGACTAAAACAAATATTTCAATAATGAACCCTTTCTAGTTAAAAATGCTAAATGGTAGTTAAAAATACGAATTGAAGTGATATATATAAACTTAATCAGATTTTATTTTATTTATTTTTGTCACAAAATCATTTTTTTAAAAGAAGACGTCAATTATATTGTAAAATAATTTGTCGAATTCACTTCTTCTTTCCATACATTCCTCTTCAAGCGACAGTTCGAGTTACGATATAAATTTCTAGAACCAAAAACGCCGCATCTCGAGGACTAAGATTTTGTTTTTATTTTCAGTGAAAATTTCATTATACAAAATAATAATGAGTAAAATAGCACCCTACTTTATATATTGAGTATGTATGTATATAAAATTTATCTATTTAACATTTCTAGTCCATTCAATGTACAAATTTTGCACTTTAAAATTATTGACAGCAAAATTTTTAAGCTGGCAACGCGATTAAATCGAAAATTATTAGATTTATTTGATACTAGCAGCAACCCTTTTAATTATAGTTCACTCATTTGTTTTTGACCGAAAATATAACGGGATTAGTTAGCGATATAGAAAATTGTTTAACCTTAATTTAAAACTCTCTACTACTATAACATTAAGTAAATAATAAAAAAATAAAACACGTTGAAATTCTACTATTAATTTTTTCTGTAAATATTATATTGTAAGTAAATAACTTACTTTATTACTTTTTAAAATTTCATTTTTTGTTCTAGATTCATGAATTTTTGTAATTTTGGTTCTTTTATCACATTATATTACTAAATAAAAAGTAATCATAACCAATGTTTAGTTCACAAGAACTTGAGAGATTTATTTTTATATTTTTTTTATACGAAGTATAAGATTAATTTTTTCCAAATTTCTTAATCTACTTAAAAATGTTAAGAATCGTTTACACATTAAACATTGTTCATGGATTTTGTTTGATTTGAGGAGAATTTGATGAGAGTTCCATGGATTTTGTTTTATGAAAAAAATAGATGATTAATTTCTACAAAATGAAATCAAAGAAAAATTTTGATAGGCAAACACAGGATTAACGTTGTACTCAATATTATTATGGCAAAAAAAGTGAACTACCTGGCTAAGTGTGAACATACTTTTGATAGAGTGCTGTTTGAAAAAATAGGGTTAGTAAATGTTAATCTTTCCCAAGTTGCTAACACCATAAGTGTGTTAAAGATAAAATTCTCAAAAAAATTCAAGGTCTGTCCGCTATAAGAAAGTTTTTATTGAACTTGAAAAAAGTTTATAAAGCTTTTATTTGTAAATCGAGAGTGATAATGTTATTATTTTCTCAATGTTTAAAATTTTTTCAAGTTTTGTAAAGTAAAATATAGTGTCTCAAAAACTTTTAAAATCTTAAAGCTGTCGAAATATATGGTTTTCTTGGTTATGTAACAATGTTTTGTTTTTCTAAATAAACAAAATGAATTCACAAATGGTTTTCCTTAAGTTTTACACATCTAAAATCAAAATTTTTCGGTTTTTTGCATAACTTTTTTGTTATTACGAGTATATATAATATTTTTTTATATATATAATATTTTTTTATATTTATTTATGTTTGATGAATATTTGGAAATTTGACGTTTATTGCTATTTAAAAAGTTCTTAAAATATTTTTCAACTTTTCAGTCTGGTTTATTTTTTTTTAAATGAGAATTCTTTTTTTTTTTGCGATAAATTACGTTACTGTTTTCTTTTTTAAATTTTTTTCAAGTTTTATATCAGACAAACCTATGATTTACTTTTGATTTTTCGATAGTTTCAAAAAAAAAAAAAATTAGAATAACCGATGTGAAAATACTCATTAACATTAACATGAATTTATTTTGAGCAGGATTGTATAAAAAACATGAATCAAAAATGTAACGTCAGTAAGTATTAAAGTTGAAAAGTTAGTAAGTATTACAGTTAATATAATTTTTTTTCTTTTTAAAGGGCATTGACTGTTTGACGCAACCATATCACTTTTGTCAATCTGAAATCAACAATTTTTTACATGATATATTTTTCTCTTACATGATACTGTTTTCTGTACACATTCAATTTTTACTTTTGCATACATTTTGAAATACACCCATTCAACTCTGAACTTTTTTTTCATTTTAATGTTAATCACTGATAATGTTAAAACAAATACCCAATTACAAAATATTTATATCTAAATGTAGGAAATATCCTCTTTTTATACCAATAGGAACATATGTTTGAAGGGGATTATCAATTTGCCTTACCGTTTATAACACCAAGAAATAATGGAAGAAATAAGTGCACGTTTTTTATCATCGTCGAATTCTGTCCGTCTGTTCGTCAGCCCGTCTATCCGTCCGTAACAAAAATAGAGCTAAGCTCTATTAACCAAATTTCACAAATCAGGTAGAGCGCTTCAGGTAGAGGCCCTAGAACTTCAAAAGCTATTTGGCTATATCATGTCTAACAATATCGAAATTCCGCACTAGCAAAAATATTATTGGGGTTGTTATGTGTAATAAAAGTTGTTGTATTTTCTTGAATAATAGTAGAAGTTTATGTGGCTACTAAAATCATTCATTTGTGATTAAAGTTTACTCAACCGATTTAAAAATAATTAAACAAAAAATAAATTTTATATTTGTGTGAGTGCATAAAGTTGTTGTAAATATTTTATATGACTGTTGCTTTTGTATTTGCTGATAAACTCGGGTTGGTTGAGTTCAGTTTTATAAACGAATGGAATGAAAAGTCAGGAATAGAAATTTAAATGAGTTATTTTTTAATATTCGTTTTGTGAAGAGATGTTTTGTTTTGCTGTATATTAAAGATCCAAAATAAGCTATTTAAAATAAGTGAAATGACTAAAAATGAATCAAAATGAATGAAAATTGTATCAAAAGTATTAATAAATTCCATACTTAACTATTTTCTAAAATATTTTATATCGAGTGAAATCTCGATTTATTCAATAAAAAACCAGTCTATATAAATAACGACCAATTATCCGGTTCAAATATAAAAACGTTAAAAACATCGAACAAATACTTTAATCAAAACAACCCTGAAATAAATTATTTCTGCCGGTATTTGATGCTACTTTGACTTTGTTTGTAAATATTGTTTTGTTTTGAAAATTTTTGTGACGTCATTCTTAAAACAGCTGTGCATCAGCTGGAACAAATCAAAAAAATTTCAATGATAAAATAATTACTTTGAATTTTTTTTAATTCATATTACCTTAATATTAATCAAAATAAATATTTTTCATTCAAAAAAACATTATTAAATAGAAAATTTATGAGGAAAATCAGCTGCATAAAAATGTAAACAAAATTGTGCGCAAGATCAACAGCTGATATGTTTATTATTTGTTGCTGAAATGCATTTCCAACATTGTTCCTAACAGCTTTGGCAGTATATCAACATAAGCTATTCACTCTATTATGTGCTAACGAAATTCCAATTTTAATCATAAAGAAAAAATGAAGAAAATATTTTTGTTTTGTTAATTTAGTTAGTGTTAAAAAAAATGTGATTTCTACAATTACTGTTATTTATTTATAATTTAAGATAAAAACAAAATTAAAAAAATGAGCAATATAACTATTATAGGAACAGATAGTAACTTTTTTAAAAGTTTAGGATTAGATGAAAACAAGGTAAATTGAACAATGGGGAATCCAAATTTTTACTTAATTACTTATCCTGTACAATAATAATTTGTAATTAAACGTTCTTCAAAGTGGTTTTTTATTAATTTCTTTAAACTTTTTTATATTTTTGCAAAATTTAATAATAATTGAAATGTAAGGCCCCATTTTCTATATGTTATGTATACCATTGTACACCACCCTACAATTAAGAAAAAAATTTACAATTTTCAATTCTATTATATTATTTCAACTTAAAATTCGGAATGAATAATATAAAGAAATTATTAAAGGTTTCAATATTTTGTAATAATTCTTATTTTAACAATTTTCAACGCCCTTTAATACTTTTTTAATTTTTTCCCTAAAATTATTGAGCTTCGACAGATACATAAAATTAAATACATAAATGCGTATTTGCCTATTAAAGAAAAAATATATACTAAAATGCTTCCAATAATTCGGAATTATGGTCAACTAGAACATCGTGAATTTATTACAATAGATATTGTAATCCAATAAATAATAACATAATTGATAAAGTTATAACAAAGATAACAACCAAATACAGATTAGAATCAGCCTTAAAATATTTTTTATTAGGTCTTAGTAATACAAAGTTACAATTTGTGACTATTTTTGAAGGAAATTAAATTATGAGCTTCTGACAAAAAAAAATGTTAAATCAAATACTAATAATAATATTAAAGCTTTCATTCAACTATGTAGTAATTAAAAAAAATTATTTTAAAATAAATTAATTATGCAAAATATTTTATTTTTACTTTTAGCTATGGATGCTTTTTTCACTTTTTGCATGCCTATCTTGGGTTATATATATTATATTTTACAATTCTCGTGTAATTGGTTTAATAATATCAAAACTTCTTAATAAATGGTTTATAAAAGGAGCTTATTTTAAAATTGGTAAGTAATGTATATATATACTTAATCATTAAATTCTTAAAAAATTATTTTTTAATTTTAGGTTCGTTATCATTAAATCCCTTAGCGGGAAAAATTATGTTTAGAGATATTGTGTACATAAATTTTGATTACTCAATTAGAATTCAGGATGGTTACATTATTTTTCGATGGTGGAGATCTTATGTACCTAAAAATGTATCAGAAGATTTGTCGCATTCTGATACACGACTCTCAGTACAGTTGAATGGATTTGAAATTCATACTTACAATCGATCTAATTTGTATAATTTGCTAGAAAAAACTTTTGGTCTACCCTCAGCAATTTTAATGCCGGTATTTAAAAAAGATATTTTTTAGTTTTATGATTATTGAGATAAATAATCTTTTTGCTTTAAGACTGAAAATTTTTCTTCCGAAGAGAAGGCAAAAATTGAAGAGGTAATGTTAAATATGGAAAACACCAGGAAAAGTTCAAATCAAAATAAAAAGAAGAAACGTCCAGAAGCAATGACAGCAACGACATGGAGAGATTTGATTCCAGTTATTAAAATAGATATCTGCAGTGTAAATATATAAATTTTGGAAATTTGAATAGGAACCGATTTTTTTATATTTCTTTTCAGGGAAGATTCGTCTTTGGAAATAGGCTGACACCGACAACTTTATCTATATCTATAGAAGAAGCACATTGTACATATAGTACTAAGCCAGCTGTTTGCAGATTAGATCATTTTATGCATTTTGTAAAAGCAAAAATTGAAAATGCTAAAGTGATGTTTGCTCCCAGCCCAAAATATACTGGCCTGGTAGATGAGCCCCCAAGATATATGGGAGAAGGTTTTGTTGTAATGATGTCTAATATTGTAGAGCTGTATTTCTATATGGATGAAGCGGGTTAACTATTTATAATTACAGTGACAATAACATTGGTTTTAATTTTGTATTTTTACTTTTAGGTGTTGTTCCAGAAGAACCCATATTATTAACCTTGGCAAATGGTGATGTAGTTGAACCAGATCCCCCAGTTTGGGGACTTGATATTAAATGTGGTAAAGGAACTGATTTCAGTTATGGGCCATGGGCAGATCGCCAAAGGGATCATTTATTCAAATTTTTTTTTCCAAGTGATTGGCAGAAAATGAAACCAACTCCAATGCCAAAAGCTGGGGAACTTCGAATGTATCAATCTTTTGATATTACCCTTTGCACCTTAAATGAAGCAACTATTGATATATTATTTTCAAAAGACAAAGAAACCAATGCAATGCACGTTACTATTGGACCCGGCTCTTATGTTGAAGTAACAATACCATGGGTAACCCAAAACAATGGATATACAACGGCTGTAGCCGGCCAATTATTACACGCTGAAGCGACTACAAGCTTACAATATCGAAGTTTAGCTGAATTTGAATCTCTCGAATACAAAGTTAAAATTCACTATCCATGTAAGTGGAATGATGCGCAAGACTGGATTGTGAACCTTACAGGATGTAAAGCTACAGCCTTTTTAGTGTATAAACATAAGTCTTTCTTCCAGGTGAGTTTTATCCTGAAAACGATTCTATTGAGGATTCTATAAATAATTTTTGTTTTAATTTTGTAGGATTTAATAGAAGACTGGAGTTCTAAAGCTCGTCCCGATATTTTGACTTTTGTACCATATGTTTGCAAATTCACTATACTTTTAAAAGATTTTGAGTTAATAACTTTGAGCAATGAATATAATTGGATAGATTGCTCAAGTACAAATCAAGAAAATAATCACATAGCATTTTGTGGAGATTTGTTTGATTTAAGTTTTTCTTTACCATTTGACGATTTTCTACCAGAAAAGGTTCCTATTAAATTTTGGATTCATGGTGAAGGCTTAGATCTGAAATTGTATCTCCCAGAAGTTTCAACTTCAAGGCCAATTGTTATAGCAATAGATCAAAATTGCAAAATTCTTACTCGAAGTGGGAAAATAAAAAAACGCTCAGATTTGTATCCACGTAAATGGCAACGCGTATGTCAAAGAAGGTATAACAATTTAAAATCAATTGATATTCCTATATTCAAAGAATTTTTGTAGTGTCGGATGGGTAGATTTTTGGTCGGCCCCGATAGTAGCAATATCAATTCTTTACGTATATCATCCAATGCCACCAGTTGGACCTCAAGCACAAGCAGACATAACAACGCCAGAAAAGGAAGAGATTTTATTGAGTCCCATTAGAATACCTAAATTAAAAAAATCTCCTGTAATGAATTGGGCTATGGTATAAACTTATTACCTATATATTTTTTTAAATATATTTAGTTTTGTTAATATTCAGAATGAATCTTTTAAATTTGACCCAACTACTCTACCAGCAGATGAAGTTACTGTGGAAATAGAAATTGGGCCGTCAGTTTTGTTAGCATACGGAAGTGTTTTGAGAAACTTTATTCATTTAAAGGTTCATTGCGCGGTTGATTTTTTTTTATTTTATATGAAAAATTATTTGGTTTATTTACAGGAAAATATATTTGGAGACGATCAAAACTTCTCTGATATGGAACAATCAAACTCAAATTTCAAAGCTTCAATAGGAATGGAGTATAATAATAAGGATATTAGTATTCTAAAAGATGGTCAAAATAAAAATCCTGTTCCTAACGTTATTGGGCCCGATGAAAAACAAAAATGTTTTGATCCTCGATATTATAGGCCCCTTGAAGTTGTAGTTTCTTTAACAATACATGATATTCAAGCTCATTTAGTTAAAGTAATATTATGATTTTTACACTTATAAAAAATAAATGTTATAAAATTTCTATGTAGAATTGCACTGAAACAGATCCTCCTTGTCCAGTTATATTAATTGAAAGGCTTGGTTTTGAGATGAAAAAGCGATATACTGAAACGGAATTACAGGTCCTCGTTAGTCCGTCTTATTTAATTTCGTTGGATAACATAATTCGATCTAATCAGGAAAAACATATTAAACAAGGTCACATTATGATGTCTGCTTTGCAGGTAAAATATTTTATTTATTTAATTACATTTCTTTTATACAAAATAAGCAATAATTCTTACGTCTAGATTCGAGGTCATGCAATGTTCAGTAATGAAGGACGAAGTTTGGATGATGAAACGTTGGAATATGCTTGGTTGCTGGAAATCCAATTAGGAAAAATACAAGCAAAGCTTACTGCTGCCCAAGTAATTAAATTTTTTTTTGTATGGTAATCGTTTTTTGAATAATATTTGATTGCAGTTGCTTCAAGTCATCTCTGGTCTAGAAACATTTATTCTATTAACTGTAGATCCTGAAAACTGCGTCAAATCACCCAAAAATGAGCAATTATGTTATCATGGAAATTTAAATAAAAGTTGCCCTAAAATAAAAGGTATTACAAAATACAAGTGTCCATCTTCAGAAGAAATCAAATATAAAATGACGAGAGTTTCCATCGACGCTATTGATATGTATTTAATTGAAGGTGGAACTGCTTTACATACATGGGTAATAAAAATAGAAAATTTTGATGGAAATTTTCAAATAAGATTTTTTTACCTCAGATTTCACCAGTTCGTTTGTCAATGTGCAATTTGCATGGACAAAAAGTAAAGCTTGGAGTTACTGGTCTACTTCCTTATGTGTTAATTCGCTTATTTTTGCAAAATAATAAAAACTACTCCCATAATTATAATGGTTTGTTATACCTATTGAATTGCATATAAGAAGATAATAATTCTTAATTTATTTGCTATAACGTAGGCAGGAAAAGCTCAAAACCGATAAATATATATGATTTAGGAGAAGAAGAACTGAATTCGACTGAATTTAAGAGAAAAAGAGATTCTAGTTTAAGGAATAATATAAAAAACAAAGAAAATCTTACTAAAAATTTGAAGGATGACATTTCAGACAAAAACATTAATTTAGAAGATGCGCATCAGATATTCAATCAAGATCATTGGATTGAAGTTGGTTACTCATCTTTTGGTCCCATATTGTTTGAAGGAGCATCAGCTTTGCCCTTTCCAGATCATAAATTACATGAGCTACAACATAAGTACAAATTTGCAACATGTTTGAACAAAAAATAATGATTTTTTTTTCCTTTAGTTTTCTAAAAGAACATGATCAGCGTTTGAAAAAGTTATGGTTCTTGTGGAATGGGTTCAACGGTTCGAAATCGAATTCTATGAGGTGTGGCTGTATTGGAGGATGCGCCTTTTTCGGAACAAATAGGAATGGATCTAAATTTTTTAAACCAAGCAGTCAGGATATTAGAGATAACATTAATATAGCGAAGTTCCAGTTAGTTATTCTTATACAATATAAAGTTTTGTCTTAATATTGAATTTATTTTAGCATACTGAACAAGTCTAAGGAGGTTGGTTTCGGTGAAAGTATTTTACATAAAGGAAAATTAGTATTTCATACGCCACCGTATAGTTTACGCCCTGTCATTCTTTGTGACAATAACGAAACTTACAATCTTGAAATACTGCATGATCAAAAGTACAGTTTATCTGAAATTGATCCTCACAAAAAAGCTGTGCACATAAATAGTAAAAGAAACAGAGAATCCTCGGTTCCGCCTGCGACAAGTACTGTAAAATACAATTCTGTGATTAATAATGCTGTCAAGTAAAACCTCAATTTTCTTAAAAAAAAAGTTTTACATTTATTGTAATTTTTTTAGGCAAAATCAATATGAAGTGCCATATTCCCGATTGTTAGAAAGTCCATCAAAAAAGATAACCCGGAAGGATTGGCAAACATCGACAAGTCACAGTACATTAGCGACAAAAACCCCAGAATCCATTCAATATTCTGTTCCTAAAACAAGTGCATCTGATTCGAGATTAACTTGTGAAATTGATTTTTCAGAAGATTTAGAAGTAATCATTTACTCGTCCGAATGAAAAATCTATTTTGTTATGCAAATTTTTTTCAGGTACCCAATATAATGTCTCACTCAGCTCCTCAAACAAATCCTTTACATTTTGAAACTACTCAATTAAATGTAAATTCAGGGGAGGAGTACGAAAAAACTAATGCCCCTTTTACAGCATCTATCACATCAGATTGTCCGTCAGAAATTTTTTTCTCAGCTGAGGAAGATATTCAAAGTAACTTTCAAGCCGGAAGTAATACATTTAATTCGCCAATTGAACCATTTTCTAATAACATGTAGTAAGATTTACTAAGTTTATTTTAAACCCTTTTTTAAAAAAAAAATCATTTGCAGCAGTCACAGGCCATATTATGCAACATGTAAATCAGATACAGAATTTAAGAGACGAGATTCCAAACATAATTATAATAGAATTAGTGGAAGCAACATAGAATTAGTACAAAATTAAATTTTACAAATTGATTTTAGTTTACATCTTTTATGTTTTCTATTTAAGATTAACACCCACGCCGGAAATTCTTCAGAAAGCCCTTCATTTTCAACAAATTCATTTATATCGGCTATGTCTTCACAAGAGGATGTAGCGTTATCGAACTCACATATACAAATGAACCGTTCAATATTCGAATCTCAACTTTTAATGGAAAGTTATTTGAATCATTTAGCTTTGGTAACAATCTTTTTCATAATTTATGTAAATTTGTTTGGGAATTAATATTTTTTGGATTTTTTAGCTTACGTGCAATAATTGGAGCACATGTTCATTTCCATTTGGTGCAGATGCTTTATCTTTACCGCTTTATCATGAAAACGAAAACGGTGAATTGGCATATATTGGCGCCAAAATGTTTCCTAAATTTGAATTACTAAATAATTGGAAAGAAATAAAAATGTTACCGAAAGTTGATTTGAATTATGATAATGCGTACCAACAAAATATGAACGAAGGTTTGAAACCCCATCCATGGGACCCAAGTGTAATGTTGAGTAAAACAAATGAAGATTGTGATGGCGAAGATAGTGAATTCCTAGATTTTCAAAGCGAATCCGTAGCTTCCTGCGTTTCCATTGTCATGCGAATGAAAGGGCAGTGTAACGTCCTAATGACACCACTGCTATTGGAAGGTATTCAAAGGTAATGAAATAGTTAACTGCATTGTGATAGATGATTATTAGATAATACAACATTTTTATGTTCAGAATCATTGAAACAGTTATACCATCTCTATCTTCAATGCATCCTTTAACAGTTATTAATTCTATGCACTACTCATGTATGAATAGAGTGCAAAATGATAACATTCTAAAAAGTGATGAAAGCTTAAGCCACTGGTCTCAAGTAAATATTATATTATATTTTGTTAGATTTTTTTGGAAAAACCAAGATTTTATTAAACCAAAATTTGTTTGTACAAATTCATTTTTAGATTAATTCAAATCAGAAAGGCACTGAAAATGTACAGCAAACACCTAGAGATTCAGTTCTAAGTGATGTTTATAAAGAAAGTATTACTTCAAAAATTCAGGGGCTTTTTATAATACCAAAAGTTTCAGTCAATATGCTTCAAGCATCAGTTGTAAGTGAAAGGACATCACTTACGAAGTTGGATAACATACAAGTATAAATAATAGTATAAAAAATTCAATATTTTGTCATCCAAAACTATTGCAGGAACTAAGCTGTGTGTCATTATTAGCATTTTATATACAAGGAATATCAGCCAAATTTCACTTAGCAAAAACTAATAAAGCTTCTATGCAAAATATTTATATACAAAAAACCATAAAATCCGAAAATCAAACTAAAAAATCAGGAATAATGAGAGGAACAAAAGCTTTTCTAGCACAATTATCAAGTCAGGCTAGGCCAGACAATATTGCAGGAGAGCCGATATTAATAGAAACATCAGAAAAACAATTGGAAGAGCTTGTGATTGCACTAGATGTAGCAAGTACACATATTCAATTAAGGCGACTGAAAAATGAATCTAATAAAAGCCAAGTAATTAAATAAATTAAAAAATAACATTCATTGTTCTTTTAAATGAAGTAACAAATTTATTTTTAGAGCTCTCAGGCAATTATAACAGCTATTCCTGAGTACAAAAGTAAAACATCATTTTCTTGTGTGAAAATGCCAGACAATCAAGATGATGATATAGGATTTATAATGTTTGAATGTGGTCTGGAAAGGTTAAGTGTTAAAATGATAAAAAAATCTCATTATGAAAAATCGGAAAATTCTAACGAACACGTAAATATGTCCGACAAGTCAAACCAAAAAAATTATAATTCACAAAATCCCAATGCAAATGAATCATTGGAAACTGATAATTCTAATATAAGTTTGAAACCTGAATTTGCTTGGAGAATATTGCAAAAAAAACCTCCTACACCGAAAACTCCTAAAGAAAGAATAACTCATGCGTTAGAACACATTATAGTAATGGGCGAAGACGGTAAAAAATTGTTTTAAATGTCGATTAAAGAATTTTAATTATTTCCGCTTTATTAGATAACAAAATAAAACAGTCGAATAAAGCAGCTAATGATGCTGACCCAGAATCAGATGAGTTAAAGGATGTCTCAACAGAATCTGAAAAACCACACGCAAATGGCAATCAAAATGACAAAACATCTTCCTGCATAATCGAATTAAAATCCATTTGGTTTAATTTCGCTGCTCCGCCATGTGTTCCTATTACAAGAAAAATTGATTTTACGAGGTACTTTACGTTTTGTTTTAATTATCTCAAATATAAGGCATTTATATTTTATTCCTTTTAGATTGGATTGGAATCTTTTAAGTACAGCCTCCCCAGCTATAACAGCCTGGATGAATCCATGCAATCGTTTGACTATGAAAATAATATCTCTTTCAAGGTCTGTTCACACACGATACACTGCTATCACGGCATGTTTAATGGCAGATGCTCTAGATAATGATAAATTTCAAAGAAAACAAAAAATAAAAAAAGTAGTGAATGTTATTTTTACAATATTTTGAGTTTAAAATAATTATTGATCTTGCAGAGTCGTTACCCAAATATGTATACATTGCTTTCAAAAACTCTACAAGAAGACCCAAGTTGTCAATTATGCACTATAATGCAAAAATTTATGTTGGACGAAGGTGCTAAAAACTTTGAGTCAAACTTCAAACAAAGTGATATTCCTCATTTAAATGTTCTTAGACAAGTAAATAATCGTTCGTATTTAACTTGTAAATTTTATAACTCTTAGTTTTTTAAACTTTATCTAGGGAGTCATTGTACTGTGTCGCCAATGGAAAAATATGCTTTATAATCCCATTTTATTTGAACATCAATACAAAAATAAATTATTTAGATCTGATGTACCATTAGCATTTGAGCAAATTGATGAAGAAAATGAAGATGGTGAATGTGATGGTGATGTAGAAAATATTGAACCTATAATTCCAGTGGAAATTTTAGAAGAAACAGAAAATACACTTTTGTTAGGTAATGAAAGACTTAAATTTGGTACCCCGGAGCCTGGGAAAACTTCAACTGAAACTTTAACATCACCAAACTTACATGGACTAAGAAGAAAGTAAGAAATGTATTTATTTTTTCTTACCAAAACAAAACCTTTATTTAGTTTGTTAACTTTATATATTCCAATAAAAACTCAATTATTTAAATACTTTTAATAGCATTCAAATGATTCCAATTATATCTGGCTTAGTTGATAAGCAGCATGCAGAAATTGGTAAATACCGTTTTTAAATGATTTTTATCAATTTAAAATTCTTAATTCCGTATTGAATAATTGAAGATTTTAAACACATTTTTTTTAACAGAATATGGCGCACTTCAGGACGATTCAACAAGCTCTTTGAATTCCCTTAATAAAATATTGTATGCGGAAAACCAAAAAGAAGATATTTATACATGGATGGCGAAACAACAAGAAAATTTTCATAAAAAGGTTTTTATAAAATGAATTAATTTTTATTTAATTAAACGGTATATTAACATTATTTTTGTGTAGGAATTTATACATCATCCTCCTGTAAGAAAAGCTACAAATGCACTTCAATCGCATGAGTACAAGCAAGATTCAATTAAATTATTAGATGCACATTTGATTTTTGAGCCACTTCTTACATGTTTGGGTGTAATGCCACAACAAATGTTAAATAAAGTTAATGCTACTGGTAAGTAAAAAAATTCCATTATAATGAAGTCAAATGAGGAGATATTTTAAAATTAACACTTACATATTCATTTTATAATTTTAGATATATCGACGTTGGAAAATTTTGGTACAAATGTATCATTAATTGGTACATTTGATTCTATTCGTGTCGATATTGTAGTAAGTGAATTAGGCGAAAATCAAAGTAAAAGTAAGAATGGTGGTAAAAAGAGTTGCAAGAAATCAATTATTATGGATGCTCCATCTTTTCTTTGTGAAAAAGTTGGTATAGATTTAGAAGTTTTTAAAATATCAGATGGAAAAATAGATCAAAGCAAACCCTATATCTATATATCAAGAAGGCAGTTGAAAAAACATGCTAGTACTATAGTAAATTTTAGTTTAAATATAAGATTCATATCACAACAGGTACCTAATAGTTATTTTCAATACTTAAAATTTTTTTAAATTTTAATTTGTTACAAATATTTTTAAGGTAAATATGCCTTTATTACGACTATTGAATCAAATATCGAATATGTATCAAAATGTTAAAGATGCTCAAAATAAATTCCATGAGCAACCTGAACTGGCCATATATAGAAAAAATAATATTAAAACAGACATTAATATAGGAAACGGTAAATATAACTTTTGAAATTTAAATTTATTTTGCACAAACAAGAAATAAATTAATTTTAGATGGTGATGTATATGAAATTCCATATTATATGACAGTACCACCAGATAATACAAGAATTTTTGGAAATGACAAAGTTTATGACTCGAGTATATTTACAAGGATTAATAATAAGTATAGAAAATTTTCAAATAATATAAAACATATCAAAACAAAATATTACTTAATAAAAAAATTGTAGGTCAATGCAACAACCACGTTCTTTTCTTTCACAACATCATCACCATACACCATCACCACAAGTTAAACCACGTCCCCAAAGTTTTGCTCAAAAATTACGTTCGACTGGTAAATCAGTGAAAGGAAAATTAGGTATATTCTATTACTTCTAAATATCTATTTAAAATTAGGTATATTCTATTATTTCTCAATGCTATTGATTTTTAAATATCGCTAGGCTATACAAATTTAAATGAATCTAAAATATCACCATTGCAAGAACATCCTGAGAATTATAATAATTCAAAGTTATCGCTAGAATCAAGAGGATTTAATGCTGGTAACATTTTAAAAAATATAATATTATAAAAAAAAAGAAAAACATGTATTAATGTATCCATCTAATTTAAAGATCATGTTCCTATACATAACACAAATATTACAACTGGAATCATTTATCAACCTGTAGAAATACCAAATTGCTGGAAAACTATTTACCATTTGCTTGAATTATATGGATCAATGCCAGAAACAAAAAGAATTCACAGGTAATTTGTAAATTTCAATGTAAAATTATTAGTTCTAGAATTCTTACTTTTTAGGCCTTCGTTTTCTACAGATGCCGTTGAAAGCACTAAGAATCAAAAGATACAGACTAAACCTAATAATAAAATGGATGAAGAAAGTAGTTCAGTTAATGCTCCAGTTTCTAAAAGTAAAATATTAAATTTTTATTAAATTTATCTGAATTTCCAAATATTGCCATATTAAGCTTTTAAAATAAGTTAGAAAATTAATATTCACCTATATAATTAATTTATTCTTTTGCAATTTTAAAAGAAAATCAACTCCCGGAAAAGACAAGAATTGCAATATTTGGTGTAGCAAAAATACATAAAACAAGACTTTTAGCAACGCTAAGTGGATTAAAGGTTTAAAATTTGCTTTTAAATTCAAAGATAATTTATTTATAGTAAATTTAATTATTATTGTTTAAAGTTAATTAAGAATTTATTCAGAAAATATAAAAAAGTATTTTAAGACTTATTTTTTTCTATTAAATGATAGCTTGAAGCTGAGATTACTACTTTTAACAGTAGTTTTACATGGAGAAAAAAAACCAGACCGATTTCTTCATTGGAATGTAAGTTTGTAGGGGATTCATCATTTTTAACGATAATAACAATATTTTAAAAATTGTACATAAAACATGAAATTCTATTTGAATATTGTTTATATTTAATTTTTCAGGTTCACTAACAGGTCAAGTCGGAAGAGCAATGATTGTTTTACTTGAAGGTGTCACTCCAAATCAACAGTAATTATTTCATTTTACTTATGTAAGAAAGAATATAAAACATCTTTCAATTTTTAATTTTTTATAAACAAGAACTGTTGTTAAAATAATAATTGGAAAAAGTCAAACACTATATTCAAGTGTAACCAAAAAAGGAAAAGATAAAAATAGTGGTTTGTTATCAGTTGGTCCAGTTAATATTGATATTCCGCAACATCCAGTTGCTTTGCATGGTATGATGACTAGGAGTTCAAAACAGCTATCTTCTACATTACAAGTAACGCTTTGAATTAATTAAATTATGAATCAATTCAATTAAAAATCTATATTTTGATTTGATATATATAGGAGCTTCGAGTTGGTCGTAATTCATCACGAGCTTCACACAAAGGAACGGAAGATCCAGAATCTCCATTTCGTGCGCCTGATACTAAAGAGAAAAATCAACAGAAAGGATTTTATCAGGTTTCAAAAAGTGCGTCTAATCAAAATACTCTGTTACAACCATTAGTGATGCAGTTTAATATTTTATTACAAGTATGTTAATATATTTTTTCATTAAACATCGTAATGAATCAAGTTAAAAATTATGAAAATTATGTTTCGTTATTTAACAGAGTCTCTCTATTAATGCGGCATTATTGCCATCACTTCAAGCACAGTACAAAATGAATCATGTCAATTCAAATGGTGTAACGGGAAGTAAAGCAAAATTTTCCATCGATTTGCCGACACATACCTTAAGTTTTTCTACAAAAATACAAGTATTTTTATTTACGAATTATAATTTTTTTCACCTTAAAATTGTGTTTTTACAGAGTCTCGAAGCAAACCTCCCAGCTGAAGCGTGTATAGCTTTACCTCCAATTCACGTTGTCGCAGAATATATTCCTGAAAATCAAAGCGAGGTATTGAATATTACTTTACATAATTATGTATTGATATTACACATATAAATTTTGTTTTAGGATATGGAAATTGATGGAATCGTATTGCGAAAAGGCAGTTACGTTAATGCTCAATGTGAAATAGGGGAGTTCGAAAGATGTTTAACAACTGATTTACTTAATCATTTGGTGTTTGTACAAAAAGTTTTCATGAAGGAAGTGAACGAAGTAATACAAAAAGTTTACGGTGGAGAAAAACCTGTACCTATATGGTTAGAAGACTCACACAGTTATCAGGTTTCTTCAGTTAAAAGAATTTTATTTTCTCTTAACATAAGTATGAAGGTTGGTTTTTTTTAGTTATTAAGTTTTTTTAAAAAATTATTTTAATTTCTTTTTTATTTTTTTTATTTTACCTTTTACAATGCAGCGAATTCAGTTAACTGCAACTACACCTTGTTCATCTGCCGTTCGTTTTGAAACGGGAACTCTTGAATTACACCTTTCGAATCGCGTTAAAAATGTTGGTGAAGGACATGAAAGAAAATTATTTGGCAAAGCTCATATAAATTTTGATTTATCTCTTGGACAAATTATAAAAAATATTATTTTTGATGAAGCCGAACCCGAGTTCCAGCAATATGCATTCTTTCATACAACAATTGCTTTGAGAAATGCCTTCCAAGATGAATTGTTAAGAGAGGATAAAGAATTGATATTGTTGACTTTAAAGCGTCCACTTATTTATATTCAGCCAGTAGCCGTAGACAAAGCAATTCTTGTTTGGCTAAATTACAAGAACGCTTATGAGTATTGGGCAGAAAAACGAGCTAATCTAAATTATGATTTGCCTGTTTTAGACCAGAATGTAAATTTATTTTTCTTACTTAATTTTTTTTACATCTTATATATTATTTTTGGTTTTAAAGACGTATGAAAAAGCAGCTTTCGGACAATTAGGAAATATTGCGGTTTCAAACTTGTCCATGTTATTTTTACAATTGACCATCGAAGACTTGGGATTGTGTTTACCACTTAATCCAGAATCTTGGACTTCTAGATCATATCAAGATTTCGAAGCTAAAGGCGCTGTCGTAATTACTTTGGAAGATATTATTATATCAGCTTGTAATTCTGGTTCATTGGTGTCAAAGGGGAAATTTTCAGGTTTATGTTTGCGTTTTGCTGATGACTTTGAAACAACACTAGACGATTGGAAACCCAATATGAATGAAGGTTGCATTATGAATCTGTGTGTTGTTTCAGAGGGCACTTGCGAAGTCTGTTCTAGAACTATTGCAACAAAAAAAAATGGTGATTATTTCTAAATGTTGAATTAAATTAACCATTATATCTATGTATTTTTATTTTGCTAGAAAATGCGAAATGGTTTTTAAATGTAAAATGGCAAATGGAGGGGGTTGATATACATTTAGACACAAATATTGGAAAACAATTATCGTCACTTGGTCATACGCTAACAACTTTGAGCGGCTTTGAAGATGATGACCTAAATACATTAGAGAGTCCTGATAGTGAAAATACTGATTCCAACGCTCAGCAGGTTAAAATTATCAAATTTCGATATCAATAAATAAAAAAAAAATAACTTTGATATTTTAGAAAAAACATGATTTGGAAAATTTACCAGCTTTTCTTTTTGATCCAAGAATTGATTCAAAGAAAAGATCAATAATGATGGAAAGAGAAATGACTGAGCAGTTGAAAATAATTAATGATTTAAGAACACTGGGAGCTTCACATAATACAGTTTCGCATGAAGAAAGAAGACTTCAAGAATTACAAGCCTTGTGTTACAAATACTTTAGAAGGGACATCATTCAAGTAAACTTGTTAAATTATAATATTCAGCTAGAAGTTATAAATAATATTATTTTACTATTTAGAAATGGAAAAGGCCATCAATGCGATATTCAATGATCAACACGAGCAGTAAACAACCATCTTTTACATCGCCATCTACAATAACTGACATAGATGAAGATGGTTCTAATAAGAAATTAGAACAAAGTGAATTGTCTGATCTTCCAACTTCCCTTCGAAGTTGCGATGCTTGGAATAACTCTCTTAGAAGTACGAAAAGCGCAGGAAGACCAACTTTATCTGCGGCTTTAAGGTAAAATTACTTAAAATCCATTTTTTTTTTAACATTTTCGTGTTTTTAATTTTTAGGCAAACTTCTTTACCAAATACAAACTTTGACTCAGAATTAACAGAAAATGATATAGTTTGGGCTTCTTCAGACGACTTAGCAAATAATATTGTTACTCCTCCCGACATTAAGAAAAAATCGCAACAAAAGGAACCCAGCATAGATTTTGAATTAGATGTTAAAGTGTTAGTAAATTCTGGTAAATGCGTTCTTCATACAAAAAGAAACAACAACGAAAAGGATTCTTCAACTGGAATTAATATTAAATATCATAAACGAGAGCGCAGCATCGGTAACGATTGGAGTAGTCCGTTACCTTCAAGAAAACGTGAAAAAAGCAAATTAAGATATAATAATCCATTTCCACTGGATTTAACAATTTTTCATATTCCCGGTTTGGATGTTAAATTGCAATATCAATCAACCACTGTTCATGACGACTCTCTAAACTACTTAATACCAGATAATCTTGATATATCTGCAGTTTCGAATAGAAGAATGGGAAATAAAAGGGCATTTTTATCAGCATGGATTATATTGCAAAGTATACCAGAAGAAACAACAATATCGCCCCATATTCTTCAATTTTTAGAAGAAACTTTAGAGCCTATTTCAACAAAGTCTGAAAGTAATATAACTTCCGCGACACAGGGCATGAATATTGATTTACTGCCTGATAATTATGTAGTCTATGCTTCTTTCCCAGTTGATGTGATTGTATACTTTCACATGCAGCCATCAACTTTCCGATTTTCATGTCTCCCTGTTTCTCGAGTAGAATGTATGCTTCAATTACCAAGTTTAGATATAGTATTTAGTTCTAAACGACAAGATGAGAATGATTCAACAAAAAGTTTAGAAAAGAATGCTTCAGGTGGTTTAAGGTATTTGATGGGTTCTTATACATAAAACATTTTTAATTTTTTTAAATATTTTTTTCTAGTGTTACTGGATGCCTGGCTGATTTTAATGTTTATATATTTCATCCTTATGGAGGTAAAAAATCTGGATATAAAGATGCGAAACTATATCCATTGAATGATGCAGAACGAAAAAATTCATTGAGTATTAATGTAGAATTTGTGAAATTCCACTTGAATCGACGTCGGAAACTTTATACCGATTTGATCTCATCAAAACGAGTTGGAAATGATTCGCTCTCTAAAGCTGTAATACGTTTTTCCACTATCGTAGATATTGGAAGCGCTTCATTCAAATATGATATGAGACGACTTACTGAAATTTTAGCTTTTCCTAAAGCATGGTATAGACGCAGAATAATGCGAAGATTATTTTTAGGCGATTTAAGTGGGCAAACGGAAATAAAACCAATGCAAAAAAAATTGAATTCCGATTTCAATGAACATTACAATGCAGCAAATAACATCGCTACAACTGACAAATCTAATCTAAGAATTGCTCAATTTGATGCTAGTAAGATATTTTTGAAGCCTAAAAATGAGGTTGACAACACTGGTAATGAACAAAATCAAGCCGCTGCTTGGGAGACACTCGTTCTATTTGGAATCAATTTTACTAAATTAAATGTTCAAATGAATATGGGAAATGTTATGGGCAATGTTGTAAGTATCCTTTAGAGAAACATATTCATTTTTATTTATTCTTAAAACTTTGTTCATGTTAGGTGTGGCTTACAAAAGATTTTCAAAGCGATGGTCGACTAAATATTATGAGTTCTGGTTATAAAAATATGAGAATCGGCATACATTTGGGAGGTTCGTCATTAGATGCAAAGGGGGGTATAGTTGGCGGCAATTTCGAGCTTAGTCAGATTGATAAACAAATTCGAATAAAAGAACAGGTAGGTCTGGAGCCGAACCATACTGTTGGTTTAAATTTAAAAGCGCTGGAACTGAGACTAGATTATATGGGCACCAGCGTCCTAATGACTCGTATAAGCAGTTTTTCAATTTCGATGCATGATGAGTGGAAAACAAGCGAAACAATAAGAAAACTCACTAAAAATGCGATTATATTTTTCCATAGTGATGTTTCATGGGATCAGGTAACGTACTATTCTTCTTTTAAAGCAAATAAATATTTTAGATCTGTTTTGTTTTGCCCTTTTATCCGATGAAATTCAGCTTCAAATAATGATATCAAAATCAACAACAGCAGACATTTTAAAAATGTACAACAAACTTGAAGAATTCTTTTCACAACAATTTAAATCCTCGAAACGCGTTTTTTCGATTTTGGAATCTAAAGAAAGTGATAGAAATGCGAGCTTAAAGAAAAAGGTTAGTTTTTATACACCTATATGTTACTAAGGCAAAACTATATGTTATATAAACTTAATTTTGAATTTAAGCATATGAGGAAGAAGGAGAAATTTACAAGTGAGCAAAATAATATCGACTCAAGTAATTTTAACACAGAAGGTAGTCATCACAGACATTGGCAAAAACCGCTGGCATTATCTAAAGGCCTAAAGTTGTTATCTTTATCATCAAGTCTCCTAGAGCGAGAAAATGTACTTGGAGGGACAGTTGAATTACGTGGTAGTAACATATCCTTAGCCTGTTTTCATGGCATTAATTTTAAGGTGGATATCAAAAAAAAAACCAAAAATTTATTTATTTATTAAAAATTACATATTTGCAGTCAAAATGTTGGGCTTTATTTAGTTTAAAAGAACCTTGCATAAATTATGTAACTGAAGCACGACTTATAAATGATACTGGTGATATTAAGGCTACGCAGACCTTGACATTCAATTTGGGCGAGACAAATAAAACTCCTCAAAATCACTCTATGGCAATCGTTAGTAGAATAACAAGAAATGTAATATTTCCTCCGCAATTCAAAAATTTGCATGAATGGTTTCAGTATGCATTTGCAAATAGTGAAATTGATGGTATATTTACATTCTAATAAAAATTTCTTTTATACAAACTTTATAATTATTTCAGCGGTAGATCGTTTTCCTATATTAGAAAAAGAAAAAGAAATTGCTACGAATTCTATTGAAAGAGTCAGAACGTCAAGCTCAATACCTTCTAAAGCTCAGGATCATAATCACAATAGAGAGGTTATTTTTGCTCTGCCAAGCTTACAATGTCATTTCAAAACGGAACACAAACAGGGTGCAACTATTCCCCTTCTTACAGGTACTTTTATCAAATAGTAATAAATTATCTTAAAAAAATTAAAATAAATTTTACTTTTAACCAGACGAAAAACCGATTGTTTTATGCAGTTTTATAACCGAATTTGATGATCACATTTTTGTTACTGTTGATGCAGATGCTTTTTTCTTCTTACACGATTTAATTACATCGTATGTTAAGGAAAAAGAAAAAGTGGTAAGTTTCAATAATTTTTTAATCAAAAAATATGTAACTTTGATTTGTTAATAGATTGAAGCTCAGAATGCTAAAACAACATCCCCGAACATATCACAAGTAAGCAAACTTTCAAATGGTTCAACAGTAGTAAATGGAAATAACACAACTTTAAATTCGACATTACAAACTCAGACATCATTAGAAGAAAATAAGTCATTGAACACTTCACAACAGCAAAATGGAAGTAAAAAAATGGAACAAGATTTAGATTTAGAATCATTTGTACGTGATTGGCGTCATTTTGAATGTAAAACCTGGCATTTAGAACCTACTGTTAGACTTTTATCATGGGCTGGAAAATCAATAGAGCCATATGGAATAGATTATATTCTAAATAAATTAGGTTTTAGTCATGCTAGAACAACTATACCAAAGTGGATGCAAAGGGGATTTATGGACCCTTTTGATAAAATACAAGCATTATTAATGACTCAATTATTAGCTTTAGTAAAAGAGAATAAGCCAAATAATGAACAACCATAAAGAAAAAATTAAAAAAGTATTGTGTATCTATTGTGTATTCAATTAATTATAAACTAATTTATTATATATCTATTCACATAATGTTTAATTTAAAGGTCGTAAATACAAAAACATGAAAATCAAATAACGTTGACATTGGTTTTATTCAAAATATTATTTAAATACTTAACCATTTTTAAGGAAATGTAAAGTAAGTATAAAAAGGATAAAACTGCAAATTTCTACGGTAAAAAATTGATTTTATTAAATTTGAATTAAGTATTTTAAAAAAATTCTATAAATTGCTTAAAGTTTTTAAACTTAAGTAATTTGGACAAATATTTTGAAAAAAATTTAGGAAAATATATTCTAAAAACATATTTATTTAATAAAATAGATATTAACGCATAAAATTAAACAATTCATAAGAATACTTTTGTATAGTTTCTATTAAACATCTAATTAGTTTCATTTGCTTTAGTTTCTCATAATTTGTAAGAAAAAAAAATATTCATTTAATAAGTATTAACAGAATGATGTGTTTTGTAATATTAAATATTCATTAAAACGTGAATTTCGCAGTTTTTAACTTTTAAAAACAACTACATAAATATTATACAAAATACTTCAAATAGCAAAAGTGTAATTCAAACCAAAGTAAGTGTTTGTATAAAACTTGAATCCTGATTAAATATGTTTTATTGAACAGAAAAAAATTTAAACACTTCTTAGGTTCTTATATAATATATTATAAAAAATGTCAATAACAGAATTTTTATAAATAATTAATTCAAAATGAAATTATTTTTTTTTTTTGTTTTTGATATATTGGAATCTTTTTTCTTTTTCTTTTTTTTTTTTTTGAAAAACTTAAGAATACAAAATTGTAAGCTATTTTTTTATTTCATATAATAATAACGCACATATCTGCAGCAAGCTCGATTAATGTTGCAGTTTTCAAAACGTCCATCTTGCAATAAATGCATATCATATGTATGCATGATATATATGTACAAAATAGTATATTTAAAGGAATAATTATAATTATATAGTAAAATATATATAGATATCATGCATTCATATTTATATACATATAATTTAACATTTAATAAAATTTTTAGTTTTACATTTGCAAAATTATTCAATTACTTTTAAAACTTTACCGATTGCAATAGTTTTATCTGAAAGAAAAGAAAATATTGAAATTATGTTTAATTTACTATAGAAGATCAAATCTTACTTTCATCTCGCAGCGTAAATCGTCCCATTTGTGGAAATAATTTAAATTGCTCTAAACATATCATACCAGAGCATTCAATTCTCATTATTGCAACTTGGTCTTGTTTAACGAAACGTGGACGTGTTTTTGATTTATCTCCAGTCTTCTTATCAACCAAACAAATAAGAGCCTAGAAAAGTATTGTATTTTGTTAAATTCATTTAGATATTGAAAGATATGAGAATTTTCGTTAAATTTGCTCAAAATCAAATTTTATGTTTATTAAAATTGCTTGAAATAAAATTTTACCTTAACAGTAATTTCTTCAGCTGCACAATGAATATGCATTACCGCAGAATATCCAGCACATATAATTGATTTATGCTCTAAGATCACAACCTGTGCGTCGAATATTTTGCCAGTTTTAATTGGATTTGATGCATCGCAAAGGACAAATCCAGGTGAAACATCCTCTTCTTCAATTCCCTAAAATTGAAAAAGTTAAGTAAAAATTCAATTAACACAAACTCTATTAAATTTACCTTTAATTTAATTTTAACATTTTCACCTGGCCCTACTGCTGTTACTTCATCATCATCCGACCACAGTTGATCTACAGCGACCTGAGTCTAAACAAAATTAAAAAGATTAATTTATTAAATAATTACATATTTCGCTTTATTTTAAGGCTTACTCTGTTCGGCATTACTAGAAGATTTTGACCTTTTTTTGCACATCCTGACTCGACCTTACCCATAACTACCGTACCCATATCTTTATATTTATCGACAATAGGCATTATAAAAGGTCCATCTAATTTTCGATTTAATGAAGGCAATTCATCGATAAAAGGTATAAAAGCAGGCCCTCTGTACCAAGGACATAAATTCTCTTCAATTGGTTCCTTTAAACCTGCACCAGTAAGGCCAGAACATGGCATAAAAGTTAAATCTTTAGCTGGATTAAAACCTAGTTTTTTCAAATACGGTAAAATTTTATCTCGGCATTCATTGTAACGACTTTCATCCCAATTAACGGTTGGATCATCCATTTTATTAACCAATACGACTAAATGTTTTACTCCGGCAGTTTTCGCTAGCATAGCATGTTCTCGTGTTTGCCCCCCTCGGTCAAAACCAGTTTCAAATTCTCCTTTACGCGCCGAAATTACTAAAACTGCTAAATCAGCTTGAGCAGCACCACCGATCATATTTGGAACAAAACTTTTATGACCTGGAGCATCCAAAATCGTGAAATGTTTTCGCTCAGTTTCAAAGAATGCTCTTCCTACTTCAACCGTTTTCCCCTTATCCCTTTCTTCCTGATTAGTGTCTAAAGCCCATGATAAGTACCAACTTTCACGCGATTTTTCTCTAGCTTCACGTTCATACTTTTCTAATGTTCTTTTGTCCACCATTCCAGTTAATGACATTATTTGACCTCCAATAGTAGATTTACCGGCATCTTTATGATATAAGAAAATGTCAATTTTTTTAAGTGTATCATAGAACCATGGAAACTTACCGACATGCCCAATAAAAACTACATTAACATGTTCCTTTTTACTTTTCGTATCCTCAATTTTTGGTAATTTTTTCTTGGTCGGCTTAGGTTCAGTTTCTTCACCGAACATATCATCATCATTTTCATCTAAATCATCATCTTCGGGTGTGAGTACTGGTTCATCTTCCACGTCCCAGCTGTCGACAGGGTCGTTTTCTAAAAAAATAAATTTGTTCGAGTTTCATAATTGTGATTTTAAAAAAAAATTAAAAATAGGATTAGCTTTAATATGCAATGAAATTGAAAAAATAATCTCGCAACTATTATCTACAAAATTTAAATGTTATGAGCAGTATTCTGAAACGATTAATTAAAAAATAGTACGATACGAAAATATTAGAAAAAATTAAAAAAATCGTAGACTTAAAACTATATATAAATATATACTTATATAAAATAAACACTTTTACTAAAATCATCGTTACTACAATATTTGATAGTGGTATCATGAATTTAAATTTTGTCTGCCCCAATTAGAAAAATAAATTTCTTAGGTTAGGGAAAAAATAGAGCAGGTAAAATGCTACGTATATACATTATAAATCGTCTATTAAGTGGAGACTGATTTTTCTTTTTTTGCTATAAATTTTACTTACGTATCTGTGGTAGATTGTCTTCAATATTTTCGTTTTTGGATAGGGGAGCTGGATCCAAGGTTATATTTGTTTCTATATTTTCACATTCATTTTTTTCTATTGCTGGACTTTCTTTATCTATGCTAAAACTATTAGCTGAGTTGGTGTTAGGGGAATTCATGAAGCTAGGTATAAATTCCATTGCGTTAACATTAAGTGTAGAAAATTTTGCTGCGAAATCGGATTTTTGAGCACTTTCCTCCGCCATTTCTGTCAATAACTTATTGTTTTAATTATTAAAATGTAATTATTTTAAAAAACAATTACGAAATTAAAACACGCGTTTCCGCAAGTAAAATAATTTTTCTCTGATGGCTCACTTCTAGTTGACGTTGAACTTCATCTACGTGAAATTTGGTTATATGAGTAAAATTTGAGTGACATTACACAAAATACTCCCTTAACAATTTAATGACATTTTATTGTGAATTTGAACATTCACAATAGAAAAGTACGGTTACCAATTTGATATTTATTCAGTTAGGTATATAATTATGCCAGCCGGTTCTATTTTATATTTCTATTCCAGTCTCGATAAGATTACAATTTTTTTCCATAGCATTTCGTAACATTTCAAGTAAAAATTTAAAAATTTCGACCAGGCTTGTCTTCTTCCGAAAAAGAGTGACTGAGTTTTTTTATATTTTTAGAAAAAGCGAGACACATATATTGCGGTAAGTAAACAAAGTATTTTTACTTGAAAACTATATTATGCAAACTCACATATGTTCCTCACTCACATTCTTCTAACCCGGTGAATGGAATCAGAATTAACGTAAAAATTTTTAGTGCAAACTTAGTAAAGTTCTTAAAAGCTATTCGTATCTTTTTATTTTATTTGTCAATCGAAACCTTATAGCGATATCTTTTTACCAATGGTTGAGTCAATGGTATTATCAAAAATTATTCTTGGGAGATCTAATGCAATGGACATTTGTCCAAGAAATAAAATAGTTAGACTAAGAAATAAAAAGAAAAAGTCAGTTATATTTCAATATTTTCTAGTATTTATTTTCAAAATATATTTTTATTTTTCATTTTTCATATAGTTAATTGTAAAATATAATAATGAATGTAAAATTACCAAAGTTTTTTTTTCACTTTGATAAATAATAAATATTCTTATTTTACTAAACATACTAAAGAATAAATTTTGCATTTTGTAACTTCAAATATATGAAATTTAAATAATTAATAATAATCATGTGCTTATAATAATTTAATATCACAGAAAAAACTTTTTTATAAGTTATGAAGGATTTTTTTTTTAAATTTGTAAATATTTAATATAATTTTTAAATATTTTTTAGTCTAAAGAAGAAAAGCTGATTGAGATGAAGCAGGGAATATTAATCTTAATTTTTCTCCTTGATTATTTGTTAAATTCGATTTATTTTTTAAATGCCTTTTCACATGCTTTGATAAATGATCGCTTCTCATGAATTTTTTCCCACATATTTGTAATGGACAAACAAACTTTTTTTCACCAGTGTGTGTTCGTTTATGCCTTGATAATTCGTCAGAACGCGAAAAGCTTTTACCACAATTTGGCCATTTACAACTAAAAGGTTTTTCACCGGTATGAACTCGTTCATGAGCTTTAAGATGTGATGATTTAAAATAATTTTTACCTGTAAAAAAAAAAGAAAAATAATAAATAAATATTTTAATTTTATTTTGTTATTTAATAATTATAAAACTGAAAAAAGTGTTATAAACTTACCGCATCCTTCATATTTGCATTCAAATATTCTTTTTCTTTCTGGATTAGACGGATTTTGTTGTGTTCTATTATTACATTTAATTAAATTTGGTGAAATTTGTATGCAACTAGGATTTTGAACAATTTGAATACAATAAATATTATCTGTAGGTGTAATCATTTGGGATTTTATGGCTGTATTATCAGTTGTTATAAAACTCAATATTGGACTTTTTGTGGTTGGTTGTTGTAAAGCTACATTGATATTCTCGAAACTGTGATTATTATTTATATATCCATCATTTGTATTACTAATATCATTTATATCATCTTTATTGATATTTTGTTGTGTTAAATCCATATTTGTCGTATTTTGTTGTATTATTAAATTGTTGTTACTTAATTGTACATTATTAACATCATTATTTTTTCCAAAATTAAATGCATTTGTAACATATTTTTCTTCTTCATTTATATCCTGTGTAGTATTATTAACATTATTATTATGATTATTGATCATTTGATTATTATCATAATTATTATTACTATTTTTATTATTTGAATTAATAGTATTACTATTGTAGTTATTGTTGTTGTTACTATTGCAACATCCATTGCGACCATATTTAAATTTTAATTGTCGAAATACATTTGGGGATGAACATTCATTTGTATTATTATTATACTCCAATATGTTACTAATGTTATTATTAATAAAATTACTACATGATACAGATGATATACCACCATTCGATGTTGCACATTTAATTACAGATTCTCTTTGTATTGGATATTTTAATTGATGATCAGAGATTGTATCTTCCGAATCGGATGGATTTGGTGTAATACTTAAAATATTATTTGCATAGAAATGTTGATCGGTATATGCCGAAAATATTTTTTCCTAAAAAATAAATAAAAAAAAAAACATAAATAAATCAATAAAATATTTTTATATTTTAAAAAATTTTCGTGATCTACATTTTTACTAGTATATGATAATATTTTTATAAGATATTTATAGAAAATATGATTTTTGTATATATATGTATGTATAATTTTAATTTTTTAATCAAAGAACTCAAAATTTTTGTATTTAAAGTTATAACATTGAAATCACATTTTTTTCTGGTTTAATTTAAAAAAAAATATGTATGTAAATATAAAAGCAGTCATATCATACATGAATGTATGTACATATGTAGTATAAATTGTATTAATGATGTATAAAAGTATCAACAGAAAAAAGTTTGTTGCGATAACAAGTTCTAAAATAAAAATAATCTATTCGGTCATGAAATGTTATGACTACATGGGCGTGATTGATAATAAGATCCTAAATAATCAAAAAAAAAATGTATATATATAGAACACACACTCTAAAGGCGTGATTTTGAGCTTTTTTTAGTTTCAATAAAAAAAAAAATAAGTTCAAAAAGAATTTGACCCTAGCTAATATTGTATATCACAAACATACACGCATATATACCTACATATGTATAAAAAATAAAGAAAAAATACGAACAATTTTTATTTTACCTAAAAATATGCAAATTGAATTAATTTTTTTTGCTTTTGTTATTGCATAAAATTATTGAGAAAAGAAAATAAAAAAAAAAAATTCCGATCACGAAACCAATTCGTGCAATATTTTCATATAATATGTAGCTATTAGCTAAGCATGTGTGTTTGTATGCATCCTTGAAATTAAAAATTTTTATATACCTATTAAAAAAAAAAAAAGTAATTCATCTCTTAAATTACTTCATATTTTTAAATATTTAAAAAATATAAAATGTTTGTAATTGACTATGCTTATTTAATGTAAAAAAAATAATGTTATATAGGTACAGGATGAGTAGTAAAAATAACGTCATAAATATTATATTTGTACGTCTTGTAGCTTTGTATGTGTATATGTATGTATAAATATTAATTATTAAAATTCAATCCGTTTATGCAATTACAATTATCACACTCTATAGGTACTACTACTCCCCCATTATAATATTAAAACACAAAGATTCAAAACACGAACTTTTTTCGCATTGTTATTGAACATATTGTTATACATACATATGTATAATATGTAACTACATCTTTGTATATAAAAGTTTACTATTCCTTTATATTTAAATAATAACTTTTGTTTAGCTTTTAGTAAATTTAAAATGTAATATTTTGTACTATATGCATACATACGTATATTTTTAAAAAATATATCGAATGTATATGCAAGTATACATTCGATATATTTTTTGCCATCTACATTTTATTGAATTTTTCATGACAGCTAACTAACAAAACTACTTTACTCACACACCCCCTATTACGAGTTTAAACTTTTCTTTCTTCTGGTGTTTTATTATTTTTTTTTCTTTTTATTATTTTTTATTTCTTTTTTTTTTTTGTTTTGCTAAAGAAGGTGATATTATTGTATTAAAGAAAAAAAAAAAATTAATAGTAAACATCGATGACGCATACTATACAATATACATTGTGAATGTACACACACAAGTATACTATTACGAGACTTGGTCAAATGAAATTTTATGGGAAGCTTTTCATGTATACAAGCACACACACACCTATAATAATTATTTTATACTAGTATTGTAGAACGAGCCTTTTTTTAAAAATTTTATGTAAAATATAACAACAACAGATTTTTTAGTGAAATAAATATTAATAATGGTAGGTATGTAGGCATGTAATAAAGACGTATGGTAAATATTTTGTACGTGTTATTATTATATTAACGTGAATTTCTTAAAATACATAATAGAAATTTGTTAATTAATTTTTAATTTTAATTCTAATTTTTATTAAAATTTAATTATAATTTCTATTTTTAAATTAATTTAATAATACTTTATTAAAATGCATGTTTGTTGTAAAAATTAAACACTAAACGACAAATAAAATTTAATCAATAAAATATTTTATAAAATTTTATATTAAAAACATATTAGGGTTCTCTAAAGAATTATGAAGCAAAAATTCCTGTCACACGCATATACATACATACATATATATTTGTGTACATATCCGGGACCTTAAACTGTTAAGGAACCTCTTCCAAAAAAAATTTACTAAATTTCGAACAAAATTAGTATAAAATCAATTTATATAAAATGTTTAATAAATGTCTAACAAAATTTTCTTCAAATTTTAGTTCCTCAAAAATGAGCACAACGGTAAAAATATAATTTTTATTCCTATAAGCCATTGCAGGTATATTTTACGTATTTTAAAATAACATACGTGCTCATACAATAATTGTATATATCTTTATAAATATCTATATTTGTATGTGTACATAATTTATTTGAAAGAGGCAAAGTACACAATACAATGGTTCATTCATAACTATATGTACATATCTTTATATATACGTACATTCATATAATAATATTATGAATGTATACACATAATAGCAACAAAACATTCTGTGTTCACGTGAACACCAGATGATATCAAAGCTTTGGTGAATGTTTACTGCGTGATCTACCTATTTGTTTTTGTAGGTAGAGTAGACGAGAATTTTTTTTTCTTTTTATTTTTTTATTTACTGAATTTTACTCATTTAATACCCGCCATATATTTACATATAATATATTTTTATCTATATAAACTAATTATAAATTGTAAATATTTTTTAAAATTTAATATTTAATTCCTTATTTTAAAAGATAATCGTATATACAAATAATTTATTTAAATGGGTACTTACATGAGAATTTGGAGAAGCTGGGGGCGTGATCTGTAACGTTCCGCAATCCATCATCATTTTTATAAATTTTCAAAATATTTTAATTCAAGACTATGTATTTTCAAATTTATATTATTAAATTTTTTAGCTTATATTAATGTCTATAGCCTATATTAACAATTTATAATGTTTAAATATGTTTTATTTTTGTTCTAAATTTTGTTAAATGCAATCACTATGTTTATTTTTTAATTTACGATACAATTATATTTCATTATTTTCAGTAATATATTGTTATTTTCTTTTTATTATTTTTCAATTTTTATTCACTGCTTGTAATGCTAGCTGATACACAAATAAAATTTAAATGTGAAATGTTGAATAAAATGGTTTTGCTTTAAAATAAATACTTAAGTGTAGGTATAGAAAATTCTTTTGAGTAAAAAATTATTATTGAGTATTTTTTAGTTTGAGTGAGAAATTTTATCGTAAGCAAGCAAATTTAAATTACTTTTTTGAAATTAATAAAAAAAATCTAATTTATTAATTGAAGTTTTATACTTTTAAAAATTGCTATAAAAATAATATTTATTTATTCTATATTATTTTCATTTTAAATATAACACTCATTTTTATAATAAGAAAAAAAATCCATTTTTTAATGTTATACCGTTAATGATACAACATTAAGCCGATTTGATTATTTTGGAAATTAATCAAATGAAAAAAAATGTTCAAAGCATTTTCATATTAATTTCATGTTTTAAAACTATGTTTAAAATTAAAAATTTGTAGCACATAATTTAAAAAAAAAAAAAAAGCTAGAAACCTACCACAATTTTTCCCTTGTTAACAGTTTGCCCGTTTGTTCTTCACTTTTGTATTAACTCGAAGAGTTGATAGGAACAGTTTAATGTTGAAAATGTTTAATTGAAAAGCAACATTACATCATTGACATCATATCAATATGTTGATTAGTGTAATAATTAGGGATTCTAATTTATTATTATAAAAACATAAAAGCATAAGAAAATAACAAAAATTATATTTCGTATCCTCATTTTGCATATTTTTACTCATAATTTGTTTGAGTAGTTTTTTTAAGTAATCGAATTGTTATTTAAACAATGTTGATTCTTGGTTCAAATCTTAGATAAATATGATGACATCTAGTTAGTAAATAAATAAAACACATTTATTTAAATATTAAACTTTGCTAAATTACAAGTTATAAGGAAAAATTATTTTATATGTAATAATACAAATATTTTTGGGATATATATTATTTATAATAATTCTCACAAAATAAATTATAAATTAATGCAATAATGATATTTTGGCAAAAGTTATTAGCAATATGTTTTAACAAAAAATTCAATAAAAACGATTATTTGCAAATAGTGTGACATGTGTCAAAACTTAAAAAATTACAAAACAAACCAAGACAAATATTGGCAAAATAGTATTAATTTTTTTGTTAAAAATTCTTTTGCTGAACTTATTGTAAATACTATCGTAAAACTACAAACTAAAATAAATTTTCTTTTTGCTGTGTAAAAATAGTACACATTTGGTAACAAAAATAGGCTGCATGTGAAGTTCTAACTCAAAACAACAACAAGAAGTTCAACTACAGTTAAAAACGGTATGATTTCAAGCAATATTTTCTGTTTTACTCAGATAAGTCATTGATTCTTTTATTCCTTTAATGCATTGTTTTTATGTAACTGCTTTACGCATGTTAAACTAAATATTAGCAAACACATATTAATAAAAAAAATTTATTTAGGTTTTTTTTTATCACTGAATTTAATTTGCGAAACTTAATATAACTTTACATCATTTAATTGTAAGACTTTTTTTTAATTTTATTGGTTAAGAAAACTTGGCTTTAAAATTTTCTAGTCCTATTTTAAGGCTTATTAGAATTATTTCAGATATTTTTTCATAAAAATATGTTTAATAATGTTTGCGAACAAAAACATTTTTATTTACAAAATTATTTAATTTAAACCCACCATTTTTGGCAAATTTTATAGCATTTTTGGCACATAAAGTATATGGCACATTGTACCTTTTTTACCTACATGTACTCTGTAAAAGATGGCGCTGGAGTAAATTGACAGTATTCGTTTAACTGTCTATAATTCATTATATTACACCATTACTAAACGTAAAATATTTTATCATACATATATTAAAGTTGAAATACAGGAATTAATACGACAACAATAATATAATATGTGTAAAAAATCTCTTCAAGAGAAAAAAATAACTTAGTTTTATAATTCTTGAAAACCAAATAATTCCGTTCAGGTATAAGACATTTCTGTGTAGCACTGTTAAAATATGTTCCCTTAACTAAGGAATATAAAAAAATCAGCCACTAATTTGACAGAAGGAGAAATTCGACACATACAGATTTCTTTTTTGCATCAAATTTCTTTTATAAATTTTATGGCAATTTAGACGTTATTAAAAATGTTTTCATTATATTATCAGTTTCCGATAAGTTTCTTAATTGTATTTTATTCGAATTCCCAAAAATGTAAAAAATTTAATAATTATGTTCTTGTTTCTCGTAAATTTAAATTTTTGCTAGCAACTTGTATTTGTGTTGTAAAAAATTTTAATATAATTGTATGCTTCAATTATAATTTGTATGCTTTTGAAAAGACGCTTGAAATCAAATTATACCTAAGTAAAGGATTGAAATATTGAATGTATATTCTGTCAAATAAAAAATTTCAACCAGTAAATTAAAAATAATATGTAGTATAGTAATTTTGACATTTCTAAAACTTCACTTTTGAAAGGTCTTCATTCTCTTGTTATAAAAACAAAAAAAAGAAAGAAAACAAAATTCTTTTTATCGCATTTTCAGTTTTCAAATATTTTGCATTTTCTTTTTCATTCATGTATTTTTTTCTTTTTTTTTTAAATAAAAGATTTGTCATTTTAATATTTGAAATTTCAGTTTTAAGAATTAGCTCGGACAATGAAGAAGTAAAAATAAAAAGTAATTTACGGTGTCGGTGGTTAATCGGTTTTACAATATTTTTTTTAGGGGGTGTAAAATCCAATTTTTTTTTTGATTTCAGTTCTTTTTGTAATCAAATGCAAAAGAAAATTTTCTAAGTAAAGAAATAAAAAGAAAAAAAAAAGAATATTTGATAATAAAATTTCTTTTTCAACTAGAATTAAAAATAACATAAAAGTTAACTAAATTAATTTAGTTTTTAGTTTGTTTTTTCGTGTTTAAAGAAAATAAGAAAAAAATATATTGTAATCTTAATAATAAATTTTATTCTTTGTAAATTTATAAAGTTATAAATACAATAATTTTGGTATTTTGTTTAATGAAATCATTTTTAAATGTGAGAATATGTCAAGGAGGAAACAATCTCATCCAAAGCCTTTCTTAAAAAGTAAGTAATTTTATTTAAATTTATTCAATAATATTTCATTATATACAGATTTGTATAATATATATATGTATATAATATACTTAATTGTAAATAAGAAATACATAAGTAAAATAAACAAAAAAAATCAAGCAATTTATTTTCTGTTTATCACTTAATTTTAAGTGTTATAAATGTTTTTTTTTATTTCTTTTTTACTTACGTACATTCATATATACATAATATAATATTAAATACAAATTATAAAAGATAATATAACAATTTATTTACATATATTTACTTTCATATTGTTGTTATACATACCACATATATATATATATGTATGTATGTATGTATATGGGCATTAAATTTGTTTAAAGATTAAATAAATTGGGATTTATATCAAAACATTAAATTTATTTACGAATTTTTTTTTATAAAAAATTCATTTGTTGGTCTTTTACTTAAATTATAGATAAGGGGACCGGTTTGACAAATTGATAGATTAAAATATTGAATAGAAATAAAAAAAAAAAAAATAAGAAATATTCAGATAAGTAGATAAAAATATTTAGAATTTACTTACTTAAGTATACCTACATACTTATATACCACCTATCATTATCTAATTTTGGAAAGGCAAAAAAAAAAAAAATAATGCAAAACAAATCCATCAAAAATTATTCTAAAAATGTATAAAATATTTGATTACATGTATTATTATCACTACATTTAATATATTAAAGTAGAAACAAAATTGACCTGTGCTCTGTGCGAGCCATATGGTTTTCTATTGTTAGTTTATATTAAGTACCCACTAAACTTCAATTATTAAGTAGATTAATAATGAATAATTTGTACAAAATAATAATTATTATAAAACAATTTGCTATATTTAAAATTATTTTTGTTTGGCGATTTTCATAACAGGTATCTTCAATGTTGGATCATGAGGGGTACTTTTAAATTTTAAAATATATTTAGAATACTTAGTTCGAGAATTAATAAGAATGCTTAATTTACCTTAACAAAATCATTTGTAAATAATTAGGGAATTATACTAGGTACTTATATTTCATATCCACGTATACTATTATAAATTTAATTAATTTGCATTAAATAATCAGAAATGTGCATTTTAAATGTATAATCATTTATTCTTTAAAATTTAATTTTAATTTTAAGAAATTTTAAATTAATTTTCTAATCTTAGATACCTACCCATGTATGCAAACGTTATGTACGAGTATATTTGGTTTTTTTTTTATGAAATCAAAAGAACATAATTTGCTACAATATTCTGAATAAAGTAAACACTTGTAATCTTATAATATCAAAAAATTCTAATATTTAAATAAAAAATTTAAGTTATTTATTTTAAAATTTTTTGTTAAATCATAATCAAAAAAATGAAATGAAATAAAATAATTGAGTTATCAAATTAGTTTACTTAATAATTACAAATTTAAGTATTTAAATTAAGAAATTTATTTATTTAAAAATAAAATTTGTAATATACTTATTACAAATTTTAATTTATTGCAAATTTAATAATGATACTAAGTAGTAGATCTAAATATAATCTTGATTTAAACAGTCTGTTATTTTAATTACTTAACTGCTATTTTCTAAATGTTTAAATTTAAAAAATTAATTAAATAAATTTTAAAACTATTAATATTGTGCAAATAGAAAAAAAATATTTAAATGCTTTTTCATATTTTCATTTATTTTAAATCTGCAGTCATTACGGTATTAATATGCAATTCAGCTCGTAAATTGTACTTAATTGCTAAATTGTATAACAATACAATTTTCGAAGTTATGTGAATAAATATGTAGTCAATAATATGATAAAATTCTTATTTAATTATTCCTTTTGGAAATTATATTTAATACATAAAGTAAAATAAATTTAGTATTTACGATAACTAAGCATTATTGCACATACATACTTC